TGGCAATCTAACAAAATACTTGGGATATATTTCTTAAAGGTGTACTTATGGGTCTTGGGTGTTATGTTGGAATTTCAGCACTTATTAAAGAAACAAACATTTCAGCCCTTAAAATTCCTGCAATCTGATAACCTGCAAATTGGTATTGCAAGATGGCTTTTCTTTTATATATATAAAATAATCAGATCTGAATGTTGAAAAGCAAAACAAATCATTTGAGATACATTTGCACTTACACGGTGATCCGGCAGCCACGCACCTCCAGGCTAGTGCTCCCAGCTTTGAAGAAAAGGCATCTCTGCCAGAACCTTTCCCTTTCCCTCATGCTACTCCTTAGACCCCACAGTTCTGCTATTTCCCCCTCTCCTCCACAGCACCTAATGAGCAGAGGGGCCCTGAAACAGAGGTGTCAAAAAGCCCGAGGCTGCCTTATTGTCCTCACTATGTGCTGTGACCACTGTCCCTGCCTCCTGATGCACCTTACCTGTTGGGAACCAATGCAACAAAAATTCATCTGCCAAACAAACAGGGGACAGCTGCACTGCAGGATTGGCTCTTGGCATTAGCACTGAAGGTTTTGAAGGCTAGATTCCACCGTGAGTTTGATGCTGAGAATGTCCTTGTGGGCTCCTACCACCACGTGTCCATATGGCAGTGTCTTCTTTGGCATTACACAGCTGGTTACGGCTAGTAGCAAGCAACTTTCCTTTGATGTCTACACACGAAAAGAAAGAGGATTGAACTGCAGCGGTGCATCGCTCTAAGGAAACTTCAGAGAAAGATGAAACAGAGCGGCACAGGACTGAGGTTAGGAAGAGATGCAAGGACAGGCGGCTGCTGCGCGCGGGAGAAGTGCTATAATGTCATCGAGCACTGGGGGGCAACGAAGCACCCACCCTTCGGGGAGGGACGCACTCGACCCTCAGAACGGCGGCAGCCCCACTCTCTTTCCTCCGCGGAGCAGGCGTAGCCTTTGATAATTATCGTTTCAAAAAGCGATCAGTTTTTTAGAAAAGGTCACAGATCTCTCGCCTTGAAAATAACAGGCAGGATCTGCTTATCTCAGTCTGCTGTGAAACCAGAGTGGAAAGCACGGAATTTTGTTTTCCCACTACTGCAAGTACTTACCTGGAGCAACACAAGGCAGTACTCTCTGGTTTGATGCCTCTGCATGAGGTGAAGTCATTATCTTTAATACACAGGTAAAACATTAATACACGGGGAGGTAAAAAGTTAATTTCCAAGAAGTAATTTTAGGAAATACAACAGATTAACACACCTTGCATACTAAAGGAACAATGTATGAAACTGAATACACTGTAGAAGGCAACAGAATTACAAATCGCTTTTCACAGTTTAGTCTTGGACAAGTGGTCCTGAACATTTGCTGCTTAAATAAAAGAAGAAGGAGCAGCTAGGGAATGAGAAATGAATGCTGGAAACTTGGAGGGAAAATTTTGGTTTATAGGTCATTTTTTATAACTTTATCATGCCAAAAATCATTTGAAGACATTTTACCACAGATACTTCCACCCTTTTCCTCCGTGAAGCAATCCTGCTACAGTTCAGAAATATCAAATGTCATCATTGCCACATCTCCTACTTAGACAGTTTTGCCTAACTTTTGACATGCTGCAGGGCCTGGTACCAATTCATGGGAATCAATGCTAAAGCTGTGAGTTCTGCCAAGGCAAAGACATTTATGATTTGTCCTGACTTGTGCAGTTTATCTGGAAGAAAATTGTCTCCCACAAACCACCTGAGTTGCTTGTTTTCAAGGAAGTCAAAGAAACTTATTGAGACTGCTGTGAAAGACAGAATGAACATTGGGAAAAAAAACCCCACAATTATGACATTATTAATACTGCAAGTCCTCTAAACAACAGAACCAAAACTTCCTCGAAGGACTTGCTTGCATGACATGCCTGCTTATTAAATGGGAATAAGTGTCAGCCATTCATAAGAGAAAGAAAAAGGAAAGTGTCATGACGATAAAATGGCTTCTTTCCTGCCTTGTTTCATTCAGCCATGACTAGATCTGTTAAAATGGGAAGGAGGAGGGGTTGGGTATGTCAAGACATCTTGTCTTTATCTAAATGTATCATTTGCATAAACAAGATACAGAGAAGATCTTTATTTAGTTGATTTTATGTATATGGAAATAAAACCAGATGAGAAAGATCAGACCCAGCATACTTCTACCTTTGAAATTCACCTCATTGCAATAAAAGCTGATATTAAGTGCAATAATGGATCACATTGATAACTCAAGTCCTGAACTAATGTAAAAGGACAGAAAAGGTGGAACTTCTTAAATTAGTAGCACCACAGTACAGTTCTTCAATGCCTTTAACATTTTTAGCATTTTAGCATTTTTATTCCTGGAAGAAATACTCACTTTATCCCTTCTCTTAAATTAGTAACATTTTAGATTGTTTTCAGTAACACCTGAACTACATTTTCAACTTCAGAATAAGCATCGTCATAATTTTTCTGTTTTAAACACTGGTTTTCAAATTGTACGCAGTTTTTTGTCTACTTGTGACTTTTGATGAAGACCCATTAAGAAAGAAATTATTTTGAAATCTTAGAAGCAAGTATAGGATGTTTTTATGGAGACATTTCCAAAGAAAAACTGGCTCTATTCTGTTTTGTGTTCTGTGGCATGCAGTGAATTTTAAAAGGAAAGATCATGATAATGATGATAATGTGAGTTCCTCAAACAGTTTTCTCTGAACAAATTTGTAAATAAAAGCTTTGATATACATGGTGGTCGCACCTCTTTTCTCTCTGTGATTCTCTCACAATTCTAGTTACGTCTTACTACGTTGCTACAGATCTACAGTCTCTGTGGGCCTGAATCAATGCCAGCTTTCTTCTTGTGTAACACAACAGAGGTAGCACTGACCATTCAAATCGCAATGTTCTGACGGCATTAAACCTCAGAGAAAATATTGACAAAGACATAGGCAAATATTGCAACGTTCCTTTCCCAGCCTCACACTGGAGTTGGAGCTTTATGACCTCAGCTCTGGGAGCACAGGTTTACATGGTGCTTTGAGTCCTGCAGCCATGTAAAACCAGATCACCTCTTCCTTTCTTCTTCTTCCTCTTCTTCTGTTTTTATGGCTCCACAGAAGCCTCACTCTTCCCTTAAAAATTCTTCCTCCCAGCAGGTATACTAAGTTAATAGAAATTAGTGAGTTAATGATGGCATAAAGCAAATTGAGAAGACAACCATCCTTCATTTTCTGGGCTTCTGCTGTGTGTCCCAGTTGAGACCCTTGTGCTTCAGCTATCTCAGCACCTACAAAGTGTTTCAAGCACAGTCCAGGGGCTCAGTCTTCCATGGGTGTGACATGAGGGGGATTCATGAAGAGCCACTGAAGGAAAGAAACCATAAAACGTGGCTTCTTCATAAGGCAGGATGAAGGACCCGTGAAGAAAGCTAAGGTTTGCCATGCATTGAGCCCTGTTTTGGGCCTGCAGTGGAGACACAATCATCAACAGGAAAAGGTAGCTGAGACTTCCATAGGCTTGTTATAATTAATAAGAGTTTACCTACGGGAAAGTTGTTTTTCCCAAGAATAAATGACTCGCTCTGCTCTTGAGAACATACATAAAGGATGAAGTTGGTGCATCTCTACAGAGGCACTTTATGCTCAAAACTAACCATTTATTTGTGGTGTTGTCAGTTTGCATCACGCAGAGCTTGACAGAACAGTGTTGATTATACATGTGCAACATTAAAAAAACCCCAACAAACGCCATACCTGGCAAGAGTCTCTCTGTGTCACTGTTCATTAACAACATTTCATTAGCAGATGGCTTCAGGACAGAGGAAGCACAGCATAAATACAGTGTATCACTTTCACAAACACAGGATTTTCAAAAGCCTGTCAATATTATAAAAATAAGAATGAAGCTTCATATGCAATTAAATACAAATAACTGGACTTAAGTATATACTGTACAATAATTCCTGATAGTACTTTGCAGAACCAAATTAATTTACAATATCCTGTAAAGAGCAAGTGCCATTTCACTCAAAGCTAGATGTATGAAGGAAAATAGAGAAAACAGAGGTACCACTTTAAGGTAAATACTGCCGTATCCAATGTCAAGATTTAAGTGGCTTACAACCATTCATAAAATTCTTATTTTGTCCAAGTTTTTTTTTTTTTCAATCACAGTATCATAGTCAAGAGGCCAGTTTTTTAAGAAGGAAGAAATGACAGATGTTTCCCATAGATGGATTGTTTAGGTGCCTACACATGGAGTTGCAGCCTTAGGCAGACTTTCATGACAAGCTCAGTCAGTACTTTCATTTCATTTATACACGAGCAGCAGGACCCAGTATAAAATAATTACTTTACAGTTATGTTTTTAAACACTAGGCTTCAATCTTTCCTATATTCCAGTCATCTTTCATACCCAAATCTGCTTTTGATAGCTGGGAATTAACTGATCCCATTTAACAATGCCACTAATCATAACACAATAGCACCCTGCATGGCCTCTGACACCTGCTTGATCCTCCTGAGTACCAAGAGGGGATAGCCCCAAACTTAAGATACTTGAAAAACAAGATAAATAACAACTTTCTTCCTAACTCTATGCATTTTTACTACTTCAATTTATCACATACTTCACCTATTAACTTCCACAAATTGGTGATGAGGCGATTGTAATGACTTCTGAAGTAGGGCATTGGAGATACCATGGGCACACACGCCGTCATGTGTACTAGCGTGTTA